GCAGCCCGCCCTGGTGTGGCAGTGTGCGGCTGGCCGCTGGCTGCGTTCAGGAGAGGTCTTGGCTGCGTGGGGACCTTCCCAATTTGGGCTCAGCTCCCCCGTGCATAACATTCGCAGGGGCCAGTTAGCAAGAGCTGTTATTGCCACGAGTACTATTATCATCATCTCTCACTTGGACCTCACGGGACAGAATTTCGAAACACCAGATCCCCCAAACAGAGCATCCTGGGGCAGAGAAAGTGGCCACCCTGCGTCTGGACTTTATCTCTGCTGCTACTGGGAGGCTCCCTTGAGATTCAACCTTCAAGGCGACCCTGCTTCCTTCCTCATGGCCCAGTTCCACTTCCCCTCCTCCTCCAGGAAGTCCTCCAGCTGGTGCGGTGTGATCCATGCTGACTTCTCTCCCACTTCACTCCCAGGACCAAACTTCCCCTGGAGCTTGGCGCCCGGGAGACCAAGCGCCACCTCCACCCTCTACATATGCTGTTTGCTGGGCTTGGACTGTTTCCCACTTGCCTGCTGAGAAATGGTCGATCATGATACCCCACTCCAGGAAGCCCCTTAGCTCCCCTGTCTGGGTGCCCCAACCCTTTCTCTCCCTTGGGGTCCCTCCTAATCGATCCCTCCAGTATGGGGGTACCCATGCCCTGCTCTGCCTTCTCCAAGCTGGGGGCTCCTCAAGGTGGAGCTGAGGTTTGGCGAGGAGGCAGCGCCACTCTGCCAGGACAGCGCAGACACCACAAATATTACCTTTAAAGGGCGGTTCCAGGGGGTCAGCCCCCCACCCGCACTCATCTGGGTGGGAGCCACTCTCTGGGGAACAGCCGGCAAAGAGTGGGCCGCGGGCGGAAGCAGATGGCGCGGGGAGCGCAGGGTCCGGGGGTGGTGCCGGGAGAGTTCCGTGTGGCTCCAGCTCCCGGGAGCCTTTGCAGGGGCTGCGACTTCCCTGCACCGCTCTCTGCCACTTCAGAAACGACTTTAAGCCGGTGGTTACTATTCACCTGGCACAACCGTCGTCTTGGCTCCCATCCACCAAGTCCCCCCCCCCCCACGCCAGCCCCTGAGCCTGCTACTTATTCATTCTTCCCAGGACCCTATGTAACTGGGCCATTTTCCAAACCGGGAAACTGAGGCACAGAGAGGTTAAGTTGCTTGTCAGCGGTCACACAGTGCAGAAGCAGGGAAGCCAGACTGGGAGCCCAGGACTGTCAGGGCTTTGGAAGGAAATGGCTGGGATGGGGGCAGAGTGCAACTGGGCACCCCTGGGTTCAAATCCCTCTCTGCTTCATGTCGCATAATGGGGGGATGTGGCATAAGACCTCACGACCATTGGAGGGGGCAGAAGACGCCAATGGTGACAGTAGTGGGGATGATGGTTCCTGGATCTGTGATTGCTTGCACTGAATGTAGTGAGCTGTCTGTCCCTGGGGGTATTCAAGCAGACAGGAAAACCTCAGGACGGCAGGTCATTCTCCCGTCGGGAAGGGCTCAGTTTTCTGAGCGCAGGGTAGCTCCAGTCAGGCCCGGGGTGACGCCCCACCCCCGCCGGCAGTTCCACTCCTCCCCTGCCTTGAGACCTGCCCTCCCTGCCGGGTCATCGGGCCGCCTGGCAGCTTCCGGCCCCCTCCAATTCGCTGCGGGGGGCGATGACGTCACTGGTTGCCATGGCGAACACCCCTATGCGGACGTGGGCAGCCTGGAGCCCACCGAGGTAAAAATAGTCTTGCGTCCCCAGCGCGGCCGCCCTGATGTGCGTGTGGCGGGGGTGTCCCAAGACCCAGTTTCCTGGCTTTCCCTCCACCGACACACCTGGGCACCTGGCTTCCCCCCGCGCCTCAGTTTCTCGGCCTGTAAAACTGCCCCTCCGCCTGGGTGCGTAGTAAAATGGGAGGAAATTTGCCAGGCGTCAGGGTCGCGACAGCTTCCGTAGGCACTTGCTGAGTTCAACAATAACACAGCGCCACACAACCACAACGGCAACAGCAACAGTGGTTGATCATGTTACCCCAGAACCCTCCTGATGTTATCTCCAAATTACAGACCGGGAAACTGAGGCACGGGGAGTATAAATCACTTGCATGGCCCGGAAGGAACAGATAATAGAACTGGACCCAGGTCCGAGTGCCCTGATTCTAAACTCGTGCTACACAGCCTTCTGAGAATTTAAGAACCCTCTTGGGCAGGCGTCTCAGGGTGGACTATGGGGTCACAGTGGACCCCAAGCCCAGGGCAATGGTGAGGACACCCAGAGTTGGTGTAGGTCAGCTTGCTGAGCTCTAAAAGGGTCTTCAAAAGGGAGTCACTAGTCAGTACCCTCACCCCCCACCCCCAGTGCCCAGGGCCCAAACCCGCACACACCCTACAGTGGGTAAGTAGCCGGGACCCTGTGGAACTGGGCCACTTTCCAAGCAAGGAAACTGAGGCAGGGAGAAGTTTAAAACAGACTATTAGATAATGGGAAAAGATAGTAAAAAAAGACGATTTTTACCTCAGTGAGCTCAGATTATTCGTTTTTAGCCACTATTGACATATTTAATTTATTGTTTTAAATAATTTTTTTTAAAGAGACAGGGTCTCACTCTGTCACCCAGGCTGGAGTGCAGGGGCACAATCACAGCTCACTGCAGCCTCGAACTCCTGCACTCCAACTGTCCTCCTGCCTCAGCCTCCCCAGTAGCTGGGACTACAGATGTTCAGGCTGGGCTGATTTTTTGTTGTTGTTGTGGAGACGGGGTCTTGCTATGTTGCCCAGGCTGGTCTTGAACTCCCGACCTCCTACCTCAGCCTCCCAAAGTGCTGGGATTACAGGCACGAGGCCATTGTGCCTGGCCAATAAAATTATTTTGAATACAAGTTGGGTAGGAGCTGGGTGGGGAGGCAGATGAGGAGGCTGAGAGGGCCTCCAGGAAGAAGGGGTGTTGGTCTTGAGACCTGGGGAATGCGCTGCAGTTCGCTAGGGCCGGAGGAGAGGGAAGGGAGTTAGTTCTGAGAGCAGGGCTGAGCCCAGCGTGAGGACCCAGAGGGAAAGAGGCATCGGCTGGAGCAGCAAGCAGGAGACTGGTTGGGGGACGTGGTGGATGGAGACCTAGGGCTTCCACGGGCTTGTCTTTCTGGGAATGACCCCCGTTTTTGTCTCATTGCAGAAGGAGCTGAGCCTGCCACGCCGGGGACGCGGGTGAGTGCACCTGGGGCTGCAGGGCTGGGTGGGGCCCTGTGGTCCTGGGTGCAGATCCCTCAACAGCAGCCAGAGTTGTGAATTAATTTAATACAACACTGACCACCTTGATCCTGCCCTGTTGTTTGCAAAATACTTCACGAGCACCTCACTGGGCTCCCACTGCAGCCTGGCAGGCGCCCGCGCATTTGCAAAGGATGAACCTGAGGGGTGCAGAGAAGTTTCTTCACCAGCTTCAGGGCACCCAGCTTGGAAGAGGGAAACTTGTCTGGAGTCAAGAGTCCAGACTATAGAACTCCTACCCAAGTATACTGGAACTGGCTTGAATGCCTCCTATGACGGGCAGCTCACTTCTTTTAGGAAACACCAGTTGAAAATTGTTTCTCTTAGAGTCCCATTGGTGTTCCTGTAGCTTGGCGTTTTTGGATCCCAAAAGCATAGAGAACAGTTTTGTTCAATGACTTCACTAGTTCATGGATGGGAGGAACAAAGCCCAGGTTGCCTTGAGCTGGTGGTTTGGAGGAGTTTGAGTGTGGACACCCCATCTTTGGGGGCTGCATTTGCCTGAGTTGGGGATGGAATCACTCACTGAACAATTTGTGCGCACCACTGCACGCTGGGCCCTGTTCAAGGTGTGAGGAACTCAGAAAAGTCAGTGTCAGGCCCCGCCCATGGAGCTTGTTGCCTCTGGGGGACAGCAATGGTTGAAGTGATGCATGCAGGGGAGAAATTAACCAGGGAAAGAAAGGGAGGGGGCTGGGGGTGGCTGTAGCCGGAAGATTTGGGGGCCTCTGGAGGAGGAGGAGAGCTGGCCAGGGCAAAGTCTGGGGACACAGAGGGGACAGCAGTGGCCAAGGCCCTGAGAGGCCAGCAAGCTTGGCACTGGAGGCAAAGCGTGAAGACCCGGCGGCTGAGTGCGGCGAGCAAGGGGAGAGGGGAAGAGGCAGGTCGTGTGCATAGGGTCGGAGCGGTCCCCAGGCCCTGCTCTTGCTGCATTGCTGATGGCCAGCTGGTGGGGAGGGGCGGGGCCTCGGACATTGCCCTGAGGACGGGCACTGTCCCCAGCCTTTGCCCGAGTTGGGGGCAGGGTGGTTGAGGGTGAATCGATAGGACCAAAGAGGGCAAAGTCCCAGTCCACGGGGCAGGACGGGAACGGAGCCGAAGACTCCCTGAGGGTTGCCACTCCCCGCCACCTGCCCTGGGCCCGACTGCGTCCATCCCGGGGCCTCGAGGGGTGGCAGCGGGACACAGACACTCCCAGACCGTGGGGTCTGGTGACAGAGGAGAGGACCGGGCTGGGGACGCCCTGATGGCAGGGGTGGTGCAGGGACGGCTTCGCGAAGGAGGGGCCGGTGGGGCCGGACTCAGACACGGGTGAGGGGCGACGTTCCGGGCCGAGGGTACAGCTCGAAGCACAGGCTGCAGGCGCGGTCCGGGCCGCGACGTGCGCGAACGGGCTTGGGGCTGGGGGTGGGAGCGGGGCGCGCTCGATCCCGGAGCCGAGAGATCGATCCCAGGGCCCGGGCGAGGGCGGAGGCCTGGCCAGGCCCGGCTGCGGGGGGGCCCAGGCGGTGGAGCAATCGAAGCTGCCGCGGAGGCGGTGACCGCCCTTCCTTCCCGGCGCGCGGCTCCGGGGCGCGACACCCAGCGGCCTCGGCGTCCCCACCCGGCAGGGGCCCTCCCGCAGTGCGACCCCTCCCGCCCGGCAGGCCTGCGCGCAGGTGCGGCTTGAGCCCCGCCTCGGGGCGGAGAAAGCCCGCCACCCCTCCCCGCCCCCCGCGCCCCCGGCCGCCCAGCTGCGCGCCGGTCGGCCGCTCCGCCGGGCGCGGGGCCCCTGCGTCGGTCGCTGTGTCCGTCTGTGCGGTCGCGCCGCGATCGCGCCCGGCCTCGGCATGAAGTCCCGCCGGGACAAGCTGCACATCCCCGCGCTGACCCTCGAGTGAGTGTTGAGCGGGGCGCGGGGGGCGGGGTGGCCCGGGGAGAACCGGAAGACAACGGCCCTCCCCCCGCCGCGTCTCCGTTCCTGTCGCCCAGAAACGCGCCGCCGCCTCCGGGGAGCCCTCCCGAACCAGCGGTCCGGCCCCGCCCTCACGGCTTGCCCGGGCCTTGGAAGCACATCCCTGATCCGGTCTCCGGGCTCGGCCACGCGCACGGCGGCCGCCTGGTTCACCGTCCCCGGCCTCTTTCTTTGCAGTCTGTCTCCGAGCAGCCAGAGCCCGTCCCTGCTGAGTCCCAGCAGCCCCTGCAGCCCCTGTAGCCCCTCCCTGGGCCTGCACCCCTGGAGGTAAGTGACAGCGCGCGGGGGCGGGGCGTGGACATCGCCCTGGCACCCCAGAGCCTTGGAAGCCATCCAGACCCGGCCCTCTCCCTAAGGTACTGTAGGCTTGGTGACGTCACCTCTCTGGGCCTCAGTTTACCCGTTCTTATAATGGCGCTGTGAGCCACACTGGGGCCATGATGGGAAAATTCCATTTTCAGCCATGGCAGGAGGTCTTCCATCTGACAGGTGGCCAGGGCCTCGCCGGAACTTGGGCTGTTGCCCAAGGACTTCCCCAAGACAGGTGCTGGACTCCCAGGCCACACAGGGCCCTCCCTGCTGAATCAGCCCGGGCTGTGACCTCAGCGACCTGGCGGGAAAGCTCCTCCCTGTGAACGCACACCCCTCCCCCAGCCGGAGAGGCCACCATTAGAGCCCTGTGCGCTGAGCTACAAAGTGCTGTGGGAAGAAAAGCACCAGCCTGCTGAGCGCCCGGCCTGTACCACGTGCCCCCACCAGAGTCAGTTGAGGGTTCAAGCCACCCTCTGTAACTGGGCAAGTCTCAGGGTCTTGCTTCCGTACATGAGGACGTATTGTGGGCTGCTTGCATGATCGGGGCAAAGGTTCAGGGGGAACAACAGACGTGAGAGTCAGTGATGTCTAGAATTAGAGGGCCCATCAGTCATTTACACCTTAGTATGAATTAGCTGCTCAGCTCTTTCTGCAGACCTTTACTGGGGAGAAGAGAGAACAATATGGAGCCCACACTGGGTTCTGGGCGACAGGGAGGTACCTTCCTTCGTTTGGTCAGCAAGCACTCATTAGGCACCTGGTGTTTGCCAAGTGCTAAAGGCATAGCCATGAACAAGACAAACACAGTCCCTCCCTCTGGGGTTTCTCGGTCAGCTTGGGGAGGTGGGCAATGCAAAAGTGAATGGGTAAATAAGATACGTTCAGATGGGCACCTCTTGGGGAGGTGATGTTTGAGCCAAGGCCTGGGCGGAGCTAGGGAAGATTGGCGCTAGGCAGTGGGACCTGCGCGTGCACAGGTCCTGAGGCAGGATGGAGGTTTTTAAAGCCTCTGTGGCTGCCCTCAGGGAAGAAAGGCCTGCTGGGGACAGGCATGGACGTGGCAGAGACAAGGAAGTGGCTAGGACAACATCAAGGCAGGAGATGGTAGGGCCTGGACCAGGTCGGGGTGCCCAAGGAGAGGGGGAGACTCCTGTCACCTCCATTTAGTGGAGGAGAAAACTGAGGAATGTGTTACCAGGGGCACCCCGGGAGAGAATGCCAGGCCAGATCTGACTCTGAGTTCTTGGCTTTAGTCCCGGGCGAGGACACGAGGAGTGGAGGGACCCTCGCGTTGGGGGGCTGAGCTGATTTTACCAGGAGGGGGCGGGCAGAGTTTGGGGCTGGAAGAGAGGCAAGCTAGTCCACTCACCACCAGGGGGCAGCAGAGCCGCATTGCCTTGGGCCAGGCAAGGAACCGCCTCCCTGCCTCCCATGCTCCAGGCACCTGGGGATAAGTCCACATTTGTCCCTTTAGCCTCCCAACCCCACAGGGCCCAGCCCCTGCACACACACACATCCGCCCCCCGCGCCTGCCCCCTCCCCGTCGCGGACCGTGCTCCAGCTACTGGCTTCCTGGGCCGATCCTCTAGAATGCAAGCTCGTCCAACCTCAGGGCCTTTGCACCTGTTGTCCCATCTTCTTCCTTCCTTTTTTTCTTCTATCACATCCCCATCAAGCCCTCAGATGGGAAGGCTTCCCAGCCACCTCTCCTTCCAGGCCCTGGTTACATCCATTATACCTGTTTTTTTCCGGAGTGGTTATTGGGTTGTTTTTTCATGCCCAGAGGCTTGGGAGCCCCTTGAGGACCAGACCTGGATCTGTCCTGGTCATGTTGCATCCTCAGGGCAGGGTCTGGTATACAGCAGGTGCTCATTTAATGTATGTGTCTTGGATGAGGGGGCAGCAGCTGGAAGGGCTCTAAGCTGTGCTAGTGGTGGTGGTGGTGGTTGGGGGGTGGTGTTGAAGAAGGTTATGAGTTGAGCCCTCATGGACAAAGAGGCTGTTCCAAGTAGGAAGAGCATTGTCAGAGGAGCAGTCCTTCTGGGGCCTTGAATGCCAGGGGCAAGAAGAATGTGGATTTTCTACCTAGGGCACTGGGAGTTGTATAGGGTGTGTGCTGGGAGGGGCGTGGACAGTGCATGGGCGGGTGGGAAGGGCTGAGGTGGTTGCACTAACAAGGGGTTGTTGGCGGGGGGTCTGTACCTACCTGAGGCTTTGCCATTTACACAGTCGCTAGCACAGGCATAGAGAGGCAAATGTCAAGGTCACAGAGAGGGTCAGGGACAGCATTAGGATCTGAGCCCTGGGAGAGGGATTTCTCCAAGGAGTGTGGTTTTGCTGTAAAAGCAGTAGGGAGCCATAGAGGGTGTGTGAGCAGGGGAGGGGCGTGATGTGGTGGGCAGTGGGCTGGACACCAGAGATCAGTGGCTCAGCCAGCCACTCATGGCAGGCCTTTGCCATGGCAGTGCCATGGGTTGTTGGCTGTAGCCTCGTTCTGCAGAGCAGGAAACTGAGGCCAGACAGGCATAGCAGAAGCAGTTGCTGCGGTGCCGGGGCCGTGGGTGTAGGTAATGGGGTGTGTGTGGGTGTTGCTGGATTCACCTGTGGCTGGGGATGAGGGGTCGCTGCTCTTCACTGAGTGTGTGCACAGGTGTGTCCCGGCGCATATGGGGTGGGGTGTCTCTGCATGTGGTGACAGTATGTGGAGACTGTTGCTCCATCCTCACTTGGGTCCCCAGACTCAGGAGCATCTGTCCCCTGCATGGGGCTCAGGCCAGACACATGGGGGCCATAGGTGACCATTCCTGTCCTCATCGTGTCTGACCCCCACATAGCCTGCCCCTTGATCTCAAGGCAAGCCCAGAATCCACTTACTTTCCTCCACGGCGCTGCCATAAATCAGGCCTCAATGTTCCCCTCGCAGACACTGTCCCAGCCTCCTGCCATGTCCACTTCTGCCCCCAACGGACCCTGCTCCCCATGGCTGACATGGGGGGGGTTACAAACATAGTCCAGATCACACCCCTCCCCTGCTCAAACGCCCTCCATGGCTCCCCATTTCTCCTGCAATGAAACCACACTCCCCCCTGCAGCCCACAAGGCCTACATGGTTGGCCCCACTGGCATCTTCCCCTCAGTCCTGCGTCAGAGAGCTGTGCCCTTTGCCTGGGACACTTTCTGCATGGCCACCTCCTCTCCCTTCTCAGTGCTCTGCTGGCTGCAAGCCACCCTTTGCCCTGTTACCTCCTTTGTTTTCCTGTCTCAACTTTGGTGTTTGAAGTTATCTCTTTCATTTAATTGTATCCTGTTTACTCTCTGCTTTCCCCACCAGACCAGAGGCCCTTGAGGGCAGGGAATTTGTGTGGCCTGGTCCCCACTGTGTCCCCAGGGTTCAGCACAGGGGCAGGCACACAGTAGGTGCTCAAGAAATGTTTCATGAGTGAATGAATGGTCAGATATGGGTGTTTGAGCCCAGGGTCTGGGGATTCTGGGGGGCCTTCCTAGGGAGACCCCCAGCAGGGTGGGGGTACCTGGGGGTGGTACTGGGCATGGTGAGAAGTCTATAAGGGATTTGAGAAGAGGGCTGGGCAGGGTTAGGGCCACACACCAGGTGGCAGCAACTTCTTTGTGCCTCAGTTTCCTAGATTGTCTCCTTTTCTCAGATATGGGATGTGGGCTGCAGCGTCAGACCTGGGCCGGGTTCCAGAGTGTCCTGTGGCCCTCAGTATAATGCTGCTTCTGACTTCCCTGGACTGTCATGAGAAGAGGAAGCATTAATTCAGCACCTACTGTATGAAACTTTTCCTTCCATAGTGGCTTCCATAGTGAACATGTACTGTCCCCTTTCTGTGTCTTCGATTCTATTATGTTTTCACTACGGGGGATGTTATAGATCCGAAACAGAGGCCTGGAAGTCAGCCTGATACTGTAGGTACCCTGTAGGCGGCGCCTTACATCTCATTTACATGATCCTCACATTTCCTCCCATTTTACAGTTGAGAAGCCTGAGCCTGAGGCCGTTCAGTCAGTTGTCTGATTCCTGAGTGTAGCTGGGCTGATGGCTTTACCCATCACACCTGGGCAGAGCATGTCACATGCCCCTGACGCAATCTGCCAGACACAGCTGTGCCGGTCCCGTGCTGGGAGATGTGGGGACTCCAAGTAGCCCCAGGCCTGGGGAAGGCAGAGCCGGACACACGCGAGAGAGGGTGCTCCAGGGGAGGCGGTGCTGAATCCTGCCAGGCTGGTTGCAAGTGGCGGGGCCAGGGTGGGCGTGGTGGCACGAGCCGGGCCGGGACGCTGGGCGGGTCCTGAGTGCGGTGCGGCACTCGGAAGGGCTTAGCGCCCCTGGGAGAGGAAAAGGCGGGAGTGATCTGATTTACGTTTGGACCTAAAAGAGCCAAAATCCCCGGCTGGAGGATAAGGTGCGGCCAACACCCCGCCCCCGCCGCCCGCGGCCCTGGCAACACCCCGCCCTCGCCGCCTGCGGCCCTGGCAACGCCCCGCCCCTCTCCCCGCGGCCATGGCAACGCCCCGCCTACTCGCCCGCGCGCGGGCCCGACGGCCTCGCTTCCGCGTCGCTCGCTCCGCCCCCGCCAGGCCCCGCCCCCGCCAGGCCCCGCCTCCGCGCTCGCCTGCGCGGAATTCGCGGCCGCGCTCGGGGGCGCGCGCTCCGTCCTCGCTCCCGCGCCGCTGCCCCGCGCCGCCCCCCGCCCCCCGCCGGGCTCCGCGAGGCTCCCGGGCCGTGCCCGCCGCGGGGGTTCGCGTCCCGCCGCCGCCAGCTGCGCCGCCGCGCGGTCCCGGCCTCGGGCGGCGGCACAAAGGGACGCGGCATGTCCGACCCGAGCTGCTGGACGGCGGTGGCGGCTCCCGGCCGTCGGAGCCGCCTGGCCAAGGGCGCGCTGCTGCAGCGCTCCAAGAGGTAGGGCGCGAGCCGGCGGCCGGGCGGCGCGGAGTGGCCGGGAGCACGTCCGGCCGCGTGGCGGGCCCGCACCGCTGCCGCGCGCGGAGGCTGGAGGAACGAGGGAGTCACCTCGGAATCGGGGCATCCCGGGGATCCCAGGCTCCCCCTTCGCTCCTCCCGCCCTCCACTGGGGTGTCTGTCCGCCGGGTCGCAGCTGGGGTGGGGGACGAAGTCAGGATTTGAACCCGGGTCTCCAGGGCTGGGCTGAACCAGGCAAGAGCTTCTTGGAAAAACTGAGGCTGCTCTGTCACTGGAGCCCATTGCGTGGAAATGTTGGCTCAGAAAGCAAATATTTACGGCAGGAGTCTGGCGTTGGGGTGGAGTGTCGGGATCCGGAACAGCTGGGCTGACCCCGGGCAAAGCCTGGCCTCCGTTGGAGTCTCAGTTTCCCCTTCTGACAAGCAGAGAGGCTGAGTGAGGGCTGTGGATTTGACAGGGCCTGGGTTCAAATTTCAGCTCAACCACAACCAGGCTGTGTGACCTCAGGCAGTTCCTTAACCTCTCTGTGCTTGGGTTTCTCATTGGTGCTGGGCTGGGGCATTCCCAGAAGGGAACACAGGCAGGGTCTGGGCGGTGGGATCAGCTGCTGAAGGGCCTTGAATGCCGAGTACAGGGCTTAGACCCAGCCTACAAGATCCTGGGGCGCCATAGAGTGCTTATGGACGCTACAGGGATGGGGTGCAGGAAACTGGCCTTGGGATCCCACTTCCTGCCATGTTCTCATTCTCTGCCGTGTCCTGGATTCCAGGGGGTGGCTATCGAAGGGCAACTTCTCGAGGTTCTGAGCCTCCTCCAGGGAGGGTTAAGCACGCAGTTGGCCCTCAAGAGGCGCTCAGGAAGTAAACAGATGGCCCCCAGTTCTCTGTTGAGTCCTCAAATTTGGCTGTTTTCAAGGCCTTGCCTGAGAGGAGGGAAGCCAAGCAGGTGTTTTTCCCAAGTGCCGTTGGAAGAGGCAGATGATTCAGCAAGAATTATGGGGTGCAGCACGGGGGTGAGGAGCCAGGTGAGGGGCCGAGAGGATGTGGGGATTGGCGGGTGTGTGTGTGTTGGGCGGGGTGGCAGGAAGCGTTGCGGGAACCTGTGGGTTTCACTTTTGCTTCTGCACCTCGGGCTGGGACACGATCCCTGCGGCTGTTGATGTCTGTGGCCTCAGTTTCCCGGTCTGGGAAGTGGATGTGGCTGATCCCTTCTGTCTTGGAGGTTGGGATTGGCACGTGTCGGGGCCTCAACTTACTGAGCAAGCTCTGCCTGCGCTCCCGCTGGGCCAGGCCCCGCCAGCATCGAGCAGGGAAAGACGATGCCACATGTACCCGCGCCGGGCCCAAAGCTGAGCGCCGTGTGTGGGTTTCATCCTTCGAGATATACAGATGGGGAAACTGAGGCTCGAGGGCAGCCACACGTGGAGCTGTGGACAGGCTGGGACCCTCTTCCCTGCCCACCTTGTCACCTGTGCCCTTTGAGGATCCTGCTCTCCCACGCCTTGGCCTGCACTGAACCTTCTGCCTGGGGCCCCGTTCCTGTCTCTCTGGGCCCGCGGCCTCGCATCCTCCCTGCGCGGCTCCTGTGCTGCGTTGGTGGCTCGGTGTGTGGGCTGCTGCGCTTGTCGCTTGTCGAGTGAGAAGCAGTTGCTGTTGCCGAGCGACCGCTCTGGAGGGGGACGGTGCTGTTGCTCCGACTTCCCTCTGGCGAGGCGGGGGCTGGGGCCAGGGCGCAGGTGGCAGAGGAGGCCAGGCCTGGGGTCTGGCGGGCAGGAGGGAGCTGGGGTGGGGAAAGGAAACGTGCGGGCAAAAGTTGGCTGGAACGGACAGGGCTGTGAAAGAGGTCGTTGCCTTCAGGGGTTTAGGGTGGGTGGGACTGGCATTCTAGGGACGTCTTGGGGAGGAGGAGGACGCTGAGACGTCGGGGCAGTGGCCTCGGGAACGGTGCGTAGGATATGGTGGGAGTCTGGCTCTGCCCTCCGTGGGCTCCAGGCTGGCTGTCCACCCTCCGCCTGGCCTGCTGGCGGTGGCCACGGCGCGGGCAGGGGTGTGGGATGGGATTGTGAACCGAGAACCTGAAAACCTGGGCCATGGGCTCCTGGCCATGTGCAGCGTCCACCATGAGGCTGGAAGCACTTCCTGCCACCACCGGTGACCGCGCCGGCAGTAGCTCTAGCAACCAGCAATACTCGCCAAGTGGTGGCTCTGCGCCGGGGCCTTGAAGGCCGGGCTACGTGAGGCTTCGGGGCACCCACCTGGGGGCAGCGCGGGAGTGGTCACGCCACGCTCCCCACCCTGCTCCAGAGCCCCTGCCTGTGTGCTCTGGGCCAGCCATCTGATCTTGTCCCCTCCCCCTCGCAGCTGCCGCAGTGGGAACCGCAAGAGCTTGGTGGTAGGAACGCCGTCGCCGACTCTTTCCCGGCCCCTGTCACCGCTGTCTGTCCCGACGGGTGAGTGTGGGAGGAGCAGGCGGGCACTGTGTCCTGTTTCTGCCCCCACTGACTCAGTTTCCCCGGCTCTTCCTCAGCAGGCAGCAGCCCCCTAGACAGTCCTCGGAACTTCTCGGCAGTGTCTGCCATCAACTTCCCTTTTGCCCGGAGGTGAGTGGCGCGGCTCTGGGGGACGGTGCCGGCGCAGCAGGCGAGGGGTTGGCAGGGGCATGCGCTTGGTGGCTGGGCTTGGCTCCTCATTGCCTTCCCCTCTCCCCTGGTCCCCGCATGGTGACGGCCTCTCCCTCTGGCCTCCTTCCCCGCAAATGCACGGCCTCCTGCAGCCACGTCCCGCGCGCAGACAGGTAATTTCCTCCCGATCGGGAGCGGGAGAACAGGGGTACTGTCCAGTCCGAGAATCATTAACTCACTAAAAAAGTCACTTGTTCACGTAACAAGAGCTCGCCAGCACCTGCTGTGTGCCAGACACTCGCATGTCACTTATTCGGTCAACAGCATTTATTGAGCACCTTTTATGTGCCGTGTCCTGTGCTGGGGGGCCGTGGTCACGAATGGGCGGCTGGCCCTTGGCCCTTGGGGAGTCCTCAGTTTGGTGGGGGCAGCCAATGCGTCCCCCAGCAGCTGCAACTCAGAGGTTGAGGCGTTGACAAGGGACACACTGGCAGCTGGGCTCAGGGAAGGCTTCCTGGAGGAGGTGTCTGAAGGATGGACGAAGAGAAAGCACACGGAAGTCCCAGTGGTCAGACTGGGTCTCGGTGGTCATTTTATCAGAAGGTCCTTCCTCCAATGGGACCAGAATCTGCTCACCATGGTGTCTGCCCATGGTCCCCACAAACCACTGGGGCGGGGCCTTCCTTCCATCTGTCCTTGTTCCTCTCCAGGGCAGACGGCAGAAGATGGTCCCTCGCGTCTCTCCCGTCTTCTGGCTATGGAACCAATACGCCCAGCTCCACCCTCTCGGTATCTATAGCCCTACTTAGTGGGCAGACAGGCAGGCGCTGGGTTGGGGTCAGGGGCACATCTTTGGTTTCTTTCAAGGTGTTGGATAGTGGTGCAGTCAGCAAACATCCTGGCTGCCCCCTTCTGGGAAATGTAAGAGCCCCTGAGAAGACCCAGCTTTGGCCCCAAAGAGCCCCCAGCCTGGAGGCCACAGATATCCCTAGCCTGTGGGTCAGGGCCTGACCAGAGGGGGATTTAGGGCTGCCAAAGGGAGCAGTCAAGGAGGGCTTCCTGGAGGAGGGGGCATCAGAGCTGGGGTTTTGGGGAATGCATAAGAGCCAGGCAGGAGAAAGAGTGTCACCATCTGATGGCCAGCAGGCAGCCTGGGTCCTGGCTGCGGTGGTGGCCAGGAGCTCATGGCCCCGATTCCTCCCCACTCCTGCCAGTCGAGCTCATCCTCCCGGGAGCGCCTCCACCAGCTTCCCTTCCAGCCGACGCCGGACGAGCTGCACTTCCTGTCCAAGCACTTCCGCAGCTCAGAGAGCGTGGCTGATGAGGACGGGGGCCGCTCACCCCGCCTCCGGCCCCGCTCCCGCAGCCTCAGGTGGGCCTCGACCTCGGGGCGCAGGCCCAGCCCCTCCCCGTGCTGGCTTAGAGACCCACACCGCCTGACCTTGCCCGTGCTGACCCTCGTGCCGCAGAGTCCCCCCCCCAGGCTCAGTGTCAGTCTCACATCAACCAACCAACCAACCATCCGCTTTCAGCCCGGGACGCACGTCAGGGACCTTCGACAATGAGATCGTCATGATGAATCACGTGTACCGGGAGCGGTTCCCCAAGGTGCGCGGTGCCTGGCCGCCGGCCCGGCCCCCCACGTTGCTGTCCCTCCACGGCACTCTGCCTTCCTGGTCGTGTCCCCTCCTGTCTGTCCGCGTCTGTCTTTCCCTGCCCCAGACTCCTCCATCGAAGGACGTCGTTCCCCTGCCCGCCGCCCCTTCCCCTCTCCCCTGGCGTTGCCTCTTCCTGCCCCCATCTGCGCCTGTCACCCTCCAGCCCCGCCCTCTGACCCGGTTGCCCCTGTCGCCCCGCCCAGGCCACAGCACAGATGGAGGGCCGTCTGCAGGAGTTCCTGGCGGCCTACGCGCCCGGGGCCCGGCTGGCTCTGGCCGACGGCGTCCTGGGCTTCATCCACCACCAGATCACCGAGCTGGCCCGAGACTGCCTGGCCAAGTCAGGCGAGGCCCTCGTCACCTCCCGCTACTTCCTGGAGATGCAGGAGAAGCTGGAGCGGCTTCTGCAGGACGTGTGTGGGGCGTGTGGGGCGGGGGGTGTCCCCAGTGGGCTGGGGCGGGGGCCTGTGGGTGACGCCGCCGCCCACGTCCCCAGGCACACGAGCGCTCAGACAGCGAGGAGGTCAGCTTCATCGTCCAGCTCGTCCGGAAGCTGCTCATCATCATCGCGCGGCCTGCGCGGCTCCTCGAGTGTCTGGTGAGACCCCTTCGTGCGGCCAGCGCGGAGTCCCGGCACGGCTGACACCAAGCAGACGACAGTTCCCACACGGGGGCTTTCAGAGGGACACGGGTGCCACCAGGCTGGGTGGGCTTCCCCCAGGAAGGTGCAGCAGCCGGGACCCGGGGAGGGGCTGCGGCTAGTGGCGAGGGCGCCCCGGGCAGAGGGGTGGCGGGTGCAGAGGCGGAGGTGGGACCAGGCTCCGGCCGACCAGAGCCCCTCGCGCCCCCAGGAGTTCGACCCTGAGGAGTTTTACCACCTGTTGGAGGCGGCCGAGGGCCAGGCCCGAGAGGGCCACGGCATCAAGACGGACCTGCCGCAGTACATCATCGGGCAGCTGGGCCTGGCCAAGGACCCCCTTGAGGGTGAGCCGGGGTGGGGGCCGGGGTTCGAACCTCAGCCGTGTGACTCCAGAGCCACCAGGCTGCCCTGCATCTCCCTGTGGCCCTGCCCTTGGCTGCCCGCAGGAAATGCCCCAGATTCTCGGGGTCAGGTGGTGGCTACTGGTATCTCCAAATGTCACCTCAAGATGGCTGGGATGCCTGGAGACCAGTGGCTCTTCTAGAAGGTTCCTCAGTGGTTGCTTAATCCAGCCTCCTGCACTTGGCTCCAAGACAGCAGCGTGGGAGCCGGGCAGGGGAGGTGCTGCCTTTTCAGCCCAGGACAGGCCCCGGGGCCCTTGGGAAGTTGCTGGATGATGAAGGGGAGGCCTGGAGGCCCCTTGTGAGGCTCTCCCCTTGTCTTGCAGAGATGGTGCCGCTGAGTCACCTTGACGAAGGACAGCCCCCAGCCCCTGAGTCCCCAGAGGTAAGTCACAGAGCGTTGGGGCCCCACCTATCTTGTTCTTTCTAGGGTGGACCAGGCGGCCACGGGGAGGGCTGGGCCTGCCGAGGTTTTGCATGCAGTAGGAACTTAATAAACACCTGTGGCTTTGGGGGGAAGGCAGTGCCAAGTGGGACTGCCTCGTTTTGGAGGTTGGGCAGGGCAGTGCTGGAGGGGGCACTGGAAAGGTGTGTTTTGAAGGATGTGTAGGAGTTTGCTGGGAGGAGGGCACAGCTTGAGCGAAAAGCTCAGAAACTCGGAAGCTGAGCTGGAGAAGTTCGGACAGGGGAAGATGCGGCGTTTGCGCGTGAGGGCAGGAGGATCCTGGCCGGCTCTGCAGTGGGGGGACCCTGAGCTCTTCCTGTCCCCCCAGAGCCGTGCCCTGGTCGGCCAGTCACGGAGAAAGCCGTGTGAGAGCGACTTCGAAACCATCAAACTCATTAGCAACGGGGCCTATGGGTGAGTCTTCCATCGTGCGTGGACCCATTTCTCAGCCGCCCAAGGGGGTGGCCGAGGCCCAGGCAGCCGTTTGGCCAACTCCACCTCGGCAAGGCTCACACATTTGCCACGGAACGTGCAGCCAGGGAGACGGGTGAGTTTGGCGGCCGAAGGCTTTTGAGCCAAGGCTCTCAGCCTGCTGTGAAGAAATACACAACCCAGAGGCCCATACACGGGGTCATTTCCGGCTCATTTATGTGACACCAGGGGATGGTGGTGGCCGCTTTGGGAGAGGGGCCGGGTCAGGAGGAACGGTGTCCCCGGAGGGCACAGCCCAGGCAAGGCCCGGGGGCTCCGGTCTCAGGCCTCCCAGCGAGCCCCCCGCCCCGCAGGGCCGTCTACCTGGTGCGGCACCGCGACACCCGGCAGCGCTTCGCCATCAAGAAGATCAACAAGCAGAACCTGATGCTGCGCAACCAGATCCAGCAGGTGTTCGTGGAGCGCGACATCCTCACCTTCGCCGAGAACCCCTTCGTGGTCAGCATGTTCTGCTCCTTCGAGACGCGCCGCCACCTGTGCATGGTCATGGAGTATGTGGAAGGTACAGTCACTGAGGCTTGCATGCCTCCGGTGGCGGAGAGCTCATGCCTCCCATGCCTGGGAGAAGGTCCCTCCTCGGACCAAACTGAAATCTGCTGTGTCCTCGTGGAGTCCCAGCCTGGTTGGGGAACCCTGAGGAACTCCAGCTGGGGGCAGGGGGCCCAGCCACGGGGGTTCAGGGCTGCAGATGGCAACCTGGGGGGTAAGGGAAGGATGGACGTCCCAGGCAGGGGGACTGATGGGCAGAGGCCTCCACTGGCTGTGACCACAGCCGCCCCTCTCCCAGGCGGTGACTGCGCCACGCTCTTGAAAAACATGGGCCCGCTGCCCGTGGACATGGCCCGCATGTACTTCGCTGAGACGGTGTTGGCGCTCGAGTACCTGCACAACTACGGCATCGTGCACCGCGACCTCAAGCCGGACAAGTGAGCTGGCACCCTGGCACCGTGAGGCCGGGGAGGGCGGGGCCGCGGTGGATGGGGCGGGGCCTCCGGGGGGGCCAGGGACCGCTCGGCAGCCCCGCCTGTCTAAACTCTGCTGGCATCACAGGGCCCTCCCGGCAGGAAGGCAGGGAGTGTGCACGTGTTGAACACCTGGCGTGTGCGGAGGAGAGGAGAGCTGGCACTCGCTAGACACGTCCTCAATGCAGGGGGCGGCCACGCTGCCGGCCGAGGGGAGGGACGTGCACTTAAGATGCACAGACTCTGCGGCGGGCGGGGGTGGGCTGTGCACTCAGCTGCTGCTGCACAAAGGGGGAGAACATGCACTTAGGAGGCACTGGCTATATACAGGGAATAGTGTCTCACACTCTGCAAGACCTTGTGTGTGAAGGAAGTGACTGCACGTCTTGAGCGCCTGCTGTGTGTCAGTGCAGGGAGGAAAAGAAGAAAATGTGTTGATTGAGAGCCTTATGATACATCGAATAAGCACCTACTGCATGCCAGATCCTCCATGGGTGACTGGGAGACACGGGGCTGCCTGCTCTGTAACCCCTTTATGCTTTTCAAAGCACTCACCCCTGCATTCGATGAGCACCTGCTGTGTACAGAAGAGGGGGTTGCCCATTTATTGAGTGCCCCCTGGATACAAGGCAAGGACTGCACATTTCTCAGACACTTGCTGTGTGGAGATGCGAACGTAAGTGTTAAGAGCCTTGCGTGTTGTCAGGGCATTTTGCAGTTTGCAAGTGGTGTAGAAAACAGACGTATTTGGCCCCTGCTGTATACCTGGGCCTGTGCTGGATCCTCTAAGGAACTCTGAGACAAGTATGAACAACTTCTGCCACGTTGATGTTGGGTTTCTATATCACAGTTTTTTGGTTGGTGTGTATTTATTGGGCACCAGCTGTGTACAAGGTGTGCAGAGCCGACAGCTATTATGCAATGACTGTGTGCCAGGCCCAGAGCGCTCAAACTGTTCTATTTTGCGGTTTGCGCGCATTGAGCGCCTAGGCGTGCCAGGGACCAGGGCACTTTTCAGAGGCAGGTGCAGAGATCTGTGACCATGTGGCCTTTGGGGGATCATCTTGGGGTGGAGTGGGATCCGGGGAACAAGGATGGGACCTTCGGAGTGTCTTGGGTCAGACCCCAAGGCAACACTGCCTCTCTCGAGCTCAGGACACTCATCTGCAAGAGGGGGAAGGAAGGCGCCCAGCCCTGGGCAGTTCAGCAAGAAATAGATGCCCCCAGTAGGTGCTTGAGGAAAACATTTTTTTCTTTTCACTTTGGAAAATTTCGGATGCACCCAAAAGTCAGAAGAAAGGTGTGTTAGTTTGCTAGAGCTGCCGTGAAGAGCGCCACACGCTGAGTGGCTCAAACAGCAGAAATGTACTCTTTCGCGGTTCTGGAAGCTCGAAGTGCAAGATCCAGGTGTGTGCGGACCGGGCTCCCTCTGAAGTGCCGGGGAGGGCTGTTCCAGGCCTCTCCGAGCCCCTGGCAGTTCGTGGTTTGTGGCAGCGGGACTCTAGCCGTCACGATGGCCTCCCTGTGTGTGTCTGCGTCCAAATTCCCTTTTTTCTCAAGACACCAGTCACAGTGGACGAGGCGCCACCTGCTCCGGCACCATCTCACACTAAGTCAAACCTCTGCAGTGGCCCTATTTCCAAGTAGGATCACAGAGGCCTGAAGTCCTGGGGCTAGGACAGCAACATGCGAGCTTTGGAGAGCACCGTTCAAGCCATAGCAGAAGGGCACAGGCCCCTGCCCACACCCCGTGCCATCAACTCAGACGCCACAGCGACCAGCGCTTGGCCAGGCCGTTTCCCCCTCGCCCCCTTGCTGCCCCTCCCCACTGGATGAGTTGAAGCAAATCCCAGGCATTGTATCATTTTATTTGTAAAAAGGAAAAAAAATGTTCAATAGCAGATTTAGTCAGTGTTCAAGAAATGAATGTTTTTTATTTTTTATTATTTTATTATTATTTTTTTTAGAGATAGGGTCTTGCTCTGTCGCCCAGGCTGGAGTGCAGTGACATTATCATAGCTCCCTGCAGCCTGGGCTCAAGCAATCCTTCTGCCTCAGCCACCCAAGTCGCCGGGACTACTGGCTGAATGTTTTTTAGACAGTGGGAAGCCCCATAGGAGCCCAAGAAATAGCGATGGTGTTAATAGTGGAAGGCCCCAGGCCTGCTACAAGGAAGGCCTGGGTTTGGAAGTTGCTGGCTGCACCTGGTAGCTACACCAGCCTGTGTACACAGTAGTTGCTCAAGAAACATTGCTTTTAAAAAAAAATGGTGGATATGCATGTTAGGTGTACAGAATTGTTTCTTTACAGAGCTGAGGTAAACAGTAGGTGCTAAATAAATGGTTCTTTAAACAATGGCTGTGCATAGTGAATTCTTCAGGAATTCATTTTTGTGCGGCAGATGTACTCAGGAGGTACACAGAAATGTGACTTTATAAAGCTGGTGCCTCCGATTCTATTGCATAACAAAACATTTATATACTTAAGTTCATAGGAAAGATTAACCAGCAGTGTAGGGTATGTGCACCATTTTAATTTTTTTTTTCCTTAGAGACAGGGTCTTGCTGTGTTGCCCAGGCTGGACTCAAACTGCTGGGCTCAAGCGATCCTCTGGTCTCAGTCTCCTGAGTAGCTGAGACTAGAGGTGCCATGCTACTGCGCCCAGCTATGTGCATAAGTTTTTAAAAAATGGATGCATTTAAAAGGTGCACAGAAATACTTCTGTATACAGCAAGTGCTCAAGATACGTTCCTTTCTCAACAGGGGTGTAAACAATAGGTGCTTACAAACTGCTGGGTTTGTTGAGGTAATGGATGCACGGACAAAAACGTGCTGTGGATACACCCAGCAGGTGCCACGAAGCGAGACGTCGCGGCACACCGGGTGGGAGCCGTGGGTCCGGGGGAAATGGGTTTTTGAGCAGCGGAGTCTAGAGCAGGTGCTCAGCAGCGACGCCAGACGCACCCAGTCGAGGCACGGAGAGGTCTGCTCTGTAATGCCACCTGAGACCGGCTGCCTCTCTCGACAACGGGGCTGTGCACGGGCAGTGCTTTCTTTCTTCTTTTTTTGAGACAGAGTCTCGCTCTGTCACCCCAGGTAGAGTGCAGTGGCGTCATCACAGCTCATTGCAGCTTCAAACTTCTGGGCTCGAGCAATCCTCCTGCCTCAGCCTCCCGAGTAGCTGGGACTACATGCGCGCACCATTGCACCTGGCTGATTTTTCTATTTTTAGTAGAGACGGGGCCTCACTCTTGCTCAGGCTGGTCTCGAACTCCTGGCCTCAAGCGATCCTCCCTCCGCGGCCTCCCAGGGTACTAGGGTTACAGGCGTGAGCCACTGTGCCTGGCCAGGCAGTGCTTTCTGATCCCCTCTTGGGGTAGGGTCAGGCTGCCCTGGCCGGACCGCGGCCTGGCTTGGGTGGAGTCAAGGTCAGGGCGGCAGGAGCGGCCAGGCCCCCGGCTCCCCAGCCCTGAGTGAGCACCTCCACCTGCCCACAGCCTGCTCATCACCTCGCTTGGCCACATCAAACTGACCGACTTTGGCCTGTCCAAGATTGGGCTCATGAGCATGGCCACCAACCTCTACGAGGGCCACATCGAGAAGGACGCCCGGGAGTTTGTGGACAAGCAGGTGGGTGGCCCTGGGCATGTAGGAGCCTGAACCCCCTGGATGTGGGGGTCTTTACAATTCCACCCACCCCTTACTCCCAGGCTGGCCCTGGCCTCCCCATCTCTCCTGGGGTCTCTCCTGGGCAGGGGCGGGGGGCCTGGCCTCAGTTTCTCCATTCCACCTGGCGTAGGTGTGCGGAACCCCGGAGTACATCGCCCCTGAGGTCATCTTCCGCCAGGGCTACGGGAAGCCGGTGGACTGGTGGGCCATGGGTGTCATCCTCTACGAGTTCCTGGTGGGCTGCGTGCCGTTCTTCGGAGACACCCCCGAGGAGCTGTTCGGGCAGGTGGTCAGCGGTACGTTGCCTCAGTGCCCCTGGGGGCTCTGCGTGCGGTCCCCTGGTTCCCTGGTGTGCTCTCTGAGCTGGGCAGAGAAGCAGCAGGAAGAGGGCGGGGTCGGTGCTGGGGGCGAGTAGCGAGGGTGGCTGTATTAACAGGCGTGGGACCCCGCTGAGGGGACAGGTGGGCAGAGACCTGCAGGAGCGAGGGGAGCCGCAGAGAGAGGAGGGAAGGTGCCCGGGCAGAGGCTGCGAGGTGGGGCCTGCGGAGTCGAGGGAGCAGACGAGGCCAACAGGAGTGAGTGAGGGGTGGTGACGGAAGGTGCTAGAAAGGGCTTCCCCTGCCTCCTCACTCCTCGTTTTAGATGAGATCATGTGGCCAGAGGGAGACGAGGCCCTTCCAGCTGATGCCCAGGACCTCATCACCAGGCTGCTCCGGCAGAGCCCACTGGACCGACTCGGGACTGGTATGTAGGTGTGGGTGGGACCCAGGTGGGTGGCTTCTCCGACCCTGGGTCCCAGGGAATAGAGGGAGGGATAGGCCCTGACGTAGATAAGAGTTCTACTTGGGAAGCTACATGGAGGAGGCGGCTTGGAGCTGGGGTTTTGAAGGATGCATAGGAGTTCACCAGGAATAGCACAAGACCTTGAAGGAATGGCAGATAGCTAGGTCTGGTGCTCACAGGGGTCACCGAGGCTGAGTAAGTCTGAGTATTGATGTGAACCTGTGAAGTCATGAAGGGCTATGTGCTGAGGGACTCAAAGGCCAGCCCCGAGGATCCCACCCTCCCAGTTTTCTGGCTGCCTGGTGAATAGCTAAGGGACTGTTTGAGACTCATGTGGCCACGCATTATGTAGCCACTAGGGGTCACGTTCATGTCTGAGGCTTCACCACGAGAGAAGATGGTGAGGCTTCGGTTAGGGAACAGCCACCTTCTGCCCGGGCGAAAGGCCCAGGAAGGAAGCCGCCCGAGGCCCTGGGGCTTCTCCCCGCGGTTGGTCCCTGCGTGTGGCAGTGGGAGAGCAGCCCCGGGGACCTGGCCGGGCTGGATCTGGGCCTCAGCTCGGTCCCCTCTCCTGGTGCCTGTGGCAGCTGATTGCGGTTCTGTGTGGGTGGTGGTGGCGTCTTTGGGGGGCAGGGCGGTGACCCACAGGGCTCAGCCGAGCGTGTCCACAGGTGGCACCCACGAGGTGAAGCAGCACCCCTTCTTCCTGGCCCTCGACTGGGCAGGGCTTCTGCGACACAAGGCGGAGTTCGTGCCCCAGCTGGAGGCTGAGGACGACACCAGCTACTTCGACAGTAAGCTGGTGGCGAGAGGGGGCAGAGGGCTCGTCTCGGGGGCAGGCTTTGCCGTCCCACAGTCCCTGGGGGTGAGGGGCTGTCTGCCAGGGGCTCCACCGACACCTGGCAGCTCGCCCGAGGTCTAGGAGCTTCCGACTTCCTGAGCTGTTCCAAGAATCGAGGGCATGTCTGGCCGTTGTCCTCCGCTGGGATTTCCTGTGTGTCTGGGGTCAGGAGGCTGCTGCATCCCTCGGGTTTCAGAAGGGGAAACCGAGGCAGTGAATGTGGCAGACCCTCACCTGGGGCTCCCCAGCAGATTCGGCCTCCGGGTTGCCCAGCCCTGACCAGGCACGGGCCCTGGACTGTCACACAGGAGCGTTTGGGCCGCCCCGCTCAGCTTTTGCGGAGGGGTCCTGGCAGGGCTGCTGTAGGTGGGCTCCCATGACCCACTCTGTCCCCGCTGGGAGGTCAGGCCGGTAGCGTTCTAGTGCCTCCTCCAGAACTTGCTGCACGCTGGGGGTCTTCTCTGAGCTTCTGTTTCCTTTTCTGTAAAATGAGGACCATCCTTTACGTTTGAGATGCGCAATTGGACCTAATTCTGCGTGACCCTTTTCAGGCATTTGCTGAAGCTCAGAGACAAGAATGACCCCCGCCCACAGTCCCTCGGCTTTTGGGGACACAGCTGGGATTTATTCCCAGATACCTACTCTGCCTCCTGTGGTCCCTAAACACACCAGGCATCACCCCACCTCGCTGGCCGCATCCCCATCGGGATGCCACGCGGTCCTCAAGGCCACCTCTGGGCGTCAGGTGGGCCGCACACGCCTGTCCCTCCCACAGCGCGTTCGGAACGTTACCGCCACCTGGGCTCCGAGGAGGACGAGACCAACGATGAGGAGTCGTCCACGGAGATTCCCCAATTCTCGTCCTGCTCCCACCGGTTCAGCAAGGTGAGCCGGGCCCGGTGCGGCTAGCGCTCGGAAACACTGCGAGATGTCCGCTGTTTTCCCATGTGATTTCTTCCCCAGTGTCATAAAACACGTGTAACAAAACACACCACTCCGGCCGTCCTGAAGCATGCAGCTCAGGGGCACTCGGCACACTCGCGCCGCTGAGCGGCCACCACCTGTGCGTGGTCCCAGAACATCCGCTTCCCCCAGAAAGAGACTTCGCACCCACTGGCAGGCACTCCCCACCCCTCCCCCGGCCCACCCCGTGGATTTCTGTTCCAGACGTTTCCACGAAGAGAATCGCACAACATGCGGCCTCGCGTCTGGCTCCTGTCACTCAGCACGGCGGACTGGGGCCCAGCCACGCCGCGGCATGTGGCAGCGAGCGTGTCATTTTCTTTTTATGGCCGGGGGATATTCCGCCGCACGGATGCGCCACTGTTCACGCGTCCATCCTCGGCGGACACGGAGGCGGTTCCGCCTGTGGCGACAGAGCTGCCGCGCTGGGTGCTGTGGCACAGCCTCGCAGGCTCCGCTGGCTCCTGCCTTTGTTAGCGGGTTGGTCAGAAGCCCCCGCGCGCTGCCGTGGGCCTGGGCCCCAGAGAGGACTCTCCGGTCGGCAGTAGGAACTCCAGCTGTGGCCCCGTTGGTAGCCAGGGCCCGCTGAGCCTCAGTTTTTCAATCTGTACAATGGGCCCCAGACTCTGCTCTCTTCAGGGATGCAGTAAGAATTTAAGGAAGTGATTCGTATCAAAGTGCTCAACTGAGCCCACCGTCCAGCCCAGGTGCGACTGCCCGCCACCTTCGTTGTTACTGTGATTTTTTATTGCCTCCCAGGTCTATAGCAGCTCTGAGTTCCTGGCCGCCCAGCCCACTCCTACCTTTGCTGAAAGGAGCTTCAGTGAGGACCGGGAGGAAGGCTGGGAGCGCAACATCGAGGTGGATTATGGCCGCAGGCTGAGCGCTGACATCCGGTAGGTAGGCTGGGGAGGTGTAGGCAGATCCAGTGTCCAAGCCTGCTGGGAGTTGGAGACAGAATTTGATGTTGAGGGAGCTTCCCAGTGGCCCAGTAGAAAAGGGTCAAACATATTGGCCAGGGTGTCGGCCCCCTGACAACCTTTGTCCCTTTGGCTTTGCATTCCTAACCATGCCTGACATAAAGCACCTGTGCCCCATCACACTGTGAGGCTCTTGCTTGCACTGTTCTTTCTGACCAGAATGCCCTTTGCTAACACACTCCTGTTCATCCTTCAAAGCCCAGACCCAACAGAAACAATCAATGTCTGGTAGAGGATGGGTGTTGGAAGCTGAGTTTTAAAAGTTGAATAGGAGGTCTCCAAGTAGACATAAGAGGATGGCACAGACCAAGGGGACTCATGCTGTATTTGGAAATTGCCCCCGATTCCAGGCTGAGAGTTAAGATGTGGCCATGAGAGGTGACTGGTTATCCTGGGGTGCAGGTGTGACACAGGCTCGTCTTCTCTGCAGGCTGAGGTCCTCGACGTCCTCTGGTTCCTCCTGTCACTCATCTTTGTCGCAGCCTGAACGCGGCCCTAGCCCGTCCCTCCTCAACACCACCATCAGCCTGGACACTATGCCCAAGTTTGCCTTCTCGTCAGAGGATGAGGGGGTGGGCCCCAAGAGGCCCATCTTCATTCTGGGGGAGCCTGACCCACCCCCAGTGGCCACTCCAGTGATGCCAAAGCCCTCTAGCCTTTCTGGTAAGTGGGGCCTAAAGTAAGAGGAATAGAGTCGTGGAAAGTTGCGGAGAATGGGCTATTGGAGACGGGTTTTCAAGGATGAGTAGGACTTCTCCATCGCTAACTAAAGCTTTCCGATAGGAGAGGCCAGGGCCCCAGAAAGGCCTCAGGTCCCCTCAGGAGCCCCTGCCTAGGGGCAACAATTCCAGCTTCATAGGGCCAGGATGGGACCTCTAGCTCCCAAGAGGGTAAGCCAGGGGTTCAACTGGGTGTAGGGTGTAGAGGAAGGCTTCCTGGAGGAGGAGACTTGAAGAGTGGAGCTTTGCATAGAGAACGATTCTGGAAGGGTGTGCGGGAAGAGGGAACTGCATGAACGAAGGCCAGGAGGCTGGACTGCGCACCGCTGACTAGGGAGGAAGGGCCTTAGGTGGAGGGGCTGAGTGGCGAGGCGGAGGGCGCCGGGCTGACTCCGCTGCCCCCCCAGCCGACACAGCCGCCCTCAGCCATTCCCGCCTCCGAAGTAACAGCACCGGCGCCCGACACTCCACGCCTCGGCCCCTGGATGCCGGCCGGGGCCGCCGCCTTGGGGGCCCGAGAGACCCAGCCCCTGAGAAGTCCAGGGCCTCCTCTGGTGGTGGCGGCGGCGGCGGCAGTGGGGGCCGCGTGCCCAAGTCAGCCTCCGTCTCTGCCCTGTCCCTAATCATCACGGCAGGTAACGCCAGAGGCCCGGTCTGGGTTCTTACTTGTGTGTCCATGTCTGTTTTAACCAACAGGGTGGGGGCCGAGCCGGGGCAGCGGCGTGCCTGGTAGAGGGTTTTGGGGCCGCCGCAGAGCGGCCAGGGTGGTCACTGTGGTGGAGAGAATGGCACCCGGTGGAGTCCCCTGCGAGGGAGTGTGCCAGCCCCTCCCTGACCCCTTGCAGATGACGGCAGTGGCGGCCCCCTCATGAGCCCCCTGTCCCCACGCTCACTGTCCTCGAACCCGTCGTCCCGCGACTCCTCGCCGAGCCGAGACCCATCCCCCGTGTGCAGCAGCCTGCGGCCCCCCATCGTCATCCACAGCTCAGGCAAGAAGTACGGCTTCAGCCTGCGGGCCATCCGCGTCTACATGGGCGACAGCGACGTCTACACTGTGCACCACGTCGTCTGGGTGAGTGCGGCCGAGTGGGAACGCAGGGACCTGGGTTCGAGTCCCGCTCTGCCCAGGCAAGTCCCTTCTCGGAGCTGCCTTTCAGGGCCTGGCTGGGGTGGGAGGGCAGAGCTGGGGCCCCGTGGTTCCTCTCGGTCCGGGTGTCAGGTGTCCGGGAGGAGGTCGGTGAGAGACAGGGATGGACAGACAGACAGAGACCCTGAGCGGACGTTAAGTTTCCAGCTCCACGTAGGGGCAAGACTGGTACCTAATCCTCCCTCCCCTAGCGCGAGGGTGTCATTACCCCCAGAGGCCCGTCCCCCGCACCGCGCTCCCTAAACAGCCCCCAAGGTCAGGCACGAGAGGCAGCAACTTGCCGGGGTCCCAAAGCTGACCCAGCCGGGCCGGGGTCTCCAGACGTGGGGCCCGGGCCTGTGACTCAGCGCGCCCCTCGCGCCACCCGCAGAGCGTGGAGGAGGGAAGCCCGGCCCAGGAGGCGGGCCTGCGCGCCGGCGACCTCATCACCCACATCAACGGCGAGTCGGTGCTGGGGCTGGTGCACATGGACGTGGTCGAGCTGCTGCTGAAGGTGCGGCCTCCCCACCCGCCCGGCGCCCCCGTGGCCCCAGCGCCTGGTCCCGCAGCCGGGTGGGGTCCCCGCTGGTCCCGGAGTGAAGGGGCCGGTCGGCGGGAGGCACATAGGCGAGCCCGCCCTCCCTCCCGCAGAGCGGCAACAAGATATCGCTGCGGACCACGGCCCTGGAGAACACGTCCATCAAGGTGGGCCCCGCGCGCAAGAACGTGGCCAAGGGCCGCATGGCGCGCAGGAGCAAGCGCAGCCGCCGGCGCGAGACCCAGGACCGGTGAGCAGCCGCGGCCGGTTGCCAGGGTGCGGGGGGTGGCAGGACGCGCAGGGCGGCGATCTGAGCCCCGGTTGGTTTTCTTACGTGAGGCGGAAGTCGCTCTTCAAGAAGATCTCCAAGCAGTCGTCCGTGCTGCACACCAGCCGCAGCTTCTCCTCCGGACTGCACCACTCGCTGTCATCCAGCGAGAGCCTCCCCGGCTCGCCCACCCACAGCCTCTCCCCCAGCCCCACCACACCCTGCCGCAGCCCAGCCCCCGACGCCCCAGCAGGTGGGTGCACACCCCAGGCCACCCTGGGAGTAAGGGCTGGCGGGCTGGCGGGGATGGGGAGGGGGGAATGACTCGATGTAGGAGCAGAGATGACGGTAAGGGCCTTCCCGGCCTCCTGGAGTCTGAAAGGCAACCAGGGCTGGTCAGAGAGAGGTGCAGGGGCAGGGAAGGGCGTGCCCAGCAGTGGGAACGTTGTGAGCAAACTCAGCGAGACAGCAGGGGCGTGGAAGCTGAGAAAGGGGCTGGTGGGCTTTGAGGAATGGATCAGGCCAGAGCTGGGCTTAAATTTGGGGGCATTAGGGAGCCATGGAGGGTGTATGAGGGAGGGCATGGTTTGAACCTCATTCTGGGACAGGAAAGGATGGTGATTTGGCCTGACCCCAACGATCCCCATTCTGCAAGAAACAGCCAGCCACAGGGTTAGGGTCAAAGCTAGAGAGAGGGATAGGCTAGGGCAACTCAGAGGGAAGGCAGGTAAGGCTTCCTAGAAGATGGGGCATAGGAGCTGGGGCTTTGATGGATGAGTAGGAGTTCACCAGATCTAGGCCAAGGCAACAGCCCTGGGCAGGAGGCAGAAAAGCTAAGCACAGGTGGCCACAGGAAAGGATGTGGACTTCAGCAGGTTCGGTCAGTCCCAGGGCCCCGCCTCTGTGCTGGGTGAGGCCAGTAGCACTGACCCGTACCTGTCACCCACAGACACCACATCCCCACCCAGTGCATCCCCAAGCTCCAGCAGCCCTGCCTCTCCGGCCGCCGCTGGCCACACACGCCCCAGCTCCCTGCACGGCCTGGCCTCCAAGCTCGGGCCACCCCGCCCCAAGGCTGGCCGCCGCAAGTCCACCAGCAGTATCCCGCCCTCCCCGTTGGCCTGCCCGCCTGTCTCTGCGCCCCCTCCCCGCTCGCCCTCGCCCCTGCCTGGACACCCACCCGCACCCACCCGCTCCCCACGGCTGCGCCGGGGCCAGTCGGCTGACAAGCTGGGCACAGGTGAGCGGCTGGACGGGGAGCCGGGGCGCCGCGGCCGCGGGCCGGACGCCGAGCTGGTGGTCATGCGGCGGCTGCACCTGTCTGAGCGCCGAGACTCCTTCAAGAAGCAGGAGGCTGTGCAAGAGGTGAGCTTCGATGAGCCGCTCGAGGAGGCCACCGGGCCACCTGCCTCAGTGCCACAGATCGCCGTGCAGGGCGCCGAAGCTGCGCCGGGAGCCCTTGGACCCACCGGAAAAGACTGATTCCTCCCCACCTGTTCTCTCCCTGGCCTCAAAGTCGCGTGTTTTTTGTGCAATGTTTTTTCCGTAAAGTCGCGCTCGATGGAGACTGAGCCACAAGCATAGGACACCCGGAAGGCACGAAGCCATCTCCGTCCTTGTTGGAAAGCGGAGACAGCACCTCCCTCGTGTTCTGATGTCGATCGGGGGGCCGCAGGGGCAGGAATGGGGGACGAGGGTGGCGTTGTAAATAGTAGCAAATCCCTGCAACTAATTTATTACTTTTTATAAGCCACAGCTGGACTGAGCTGCCCCTGCGAAGGTGGCTTGCCCCAGGCACCTGGGACCCCGTTTGCAGACACTGCCCTCTGGGCTGAGAAGGAAGCACTTTGGACAAGTCATATGTGTTTGTGTTTTCTAGCTTTTCTGTACTTTTTAAGTTTTTTGTGTTACCTGATCCCGACCCAACACCACCCCCAGTTTGAGGGTATGAAGCCGAGCTTACTTGTGTGGTTACCTGTGTGGGCCCAGCATGGATGTGACTTGGAGAGTCCATAAACTATTCCCCTCCCCCAAGGCCACTTCCCACTGTCACAGCTGCCATCCCTAGGCCGGCCTTGCTCTATGGAGTCTGCCTCCAATCCTGCAGGCTTCATCCTGGAGGAGAGGGTGTGGGAGCTGGGGCTTTGATGGATGAATAGGTGTTCATCAGATCTAAGCAGAGGGGTCATCCACTCTACAAGTGGGTACTGATGCCCCAGGAGGCCCAGGCCTCACAGGGCACTGCCAAGGCAGAAGAGTGTCCACCCTGGGCAAGATTCCATGTGTTTGAGGCCCACCAGATGAGCTCTTGACTGGGCTGTGTCTGAAACACTCTCTGGGGGGTTCCCTCGATGTGTCAGAGCCTCTCTGGGGTGAGTGAGAAAACCCACTCGCAGCCCAAGTTTGAATTTCAGCTTCACTGTGTGGCTCTGGGAAAATGGCTTTCCCACTCTGTGCCTCAGTTTCCTTGTGTTTACAAGACTAATCCCAATGACTGTGTACTAAGCACCCACTGTGTGCCAAGCGCTTTCACTCGTGGCTTCTCCCTCAGCCAGCCTTGTGGAGGCGGCGTCATCACCTCCGTTTTACAGGCAAGCCAGGCGAGGCCTGGCGAGGGCAAGGCCTGTCCCACGATCACCTGGGGAGAACTGTGGCAGATGGGGACGTCAGGCAGGCCCTGCTGTGGGCATTGTCATCAAGGGAGCTTGAATACAGGGGCTGGTGTCAGATACAGCAGACTCCAGCCCCAGGTCTTCCCGGCTGCTGCGGTCTGACCCACAGGCAACCTGGAGGTGGCTGGTGAGACTGCTTTGCCCCACGTGGTGAGGGAGCTCTGCAAGCGCCACAGCCCACTCTGCATCCTTTTCTGAGTCCCCTGCCCAGCACCGCCTGGTGTTGGAGGGTAGACCTAGGCTGTGCATGACTTGCCCTGTCCTTCCGTCCCAGAGCTGGCAGTGAATAAAAGCTCATATTTACAAAGATGAGGTCCAATGTCTGGATTTGTGGGGGCTGAGAAAAGGGTAAGGGGAGAGTGGGGAGGGGAATGGCATGAGATAGACCCGTGGCTCAAAGTCATTTCAAGTGGGTTTTGAGGGCTGTGTAGGAGTTTGCCATTGAGATTCTCCCTGATGCTTTCTCTGGTTCTGGTCTCCTGCTAGCTCTGCCCTTAAAAGCTTCATCCAGACACCCGACTGGGGCCTTGAGCTACGTTAATAACACATAAGTCATCGTTGTGTCCATGCTATCCTGGTCTTTGCTTGGGCTGTGCCGTAAAACTTAGCTCCCAACCGCACTCAGCCCCGCTCAGGCCAGGCGCGTTCCGTTACTTCCGGGGCTGTGCGCAGTCTCAGAAACGTCCTTGGCCACGTCCCCGTCTCCGAGCGTCTTCGGCTATTTCCGGAAACAATCTTCGCCATCTGGGCTCTGGCGGGCCAAGTTGCTCCCGGAGGTCACTCCCTGTTTCCGGACGCTCTGGGTTGCCATGGAAACGCCTTGAACTCCGGCTTTTCCTCGGATCTCAGCTTTTTCGGCCGTCTCCTAACAAGTTCAGCTTTCTGTGGCGAGCGCCTTCCTGTTTCCTGAGCGTCAGGTTGCCTCCTCTGCCTTCTGGAACCGTCCATGCCTTGGCAGTCCCCGAAGCTGGCGGTCGCCTCTCGGTCTGAACTCCCAAGGCTTCCAGTTGCGACTGCGCACGCTCGATTCTTTCCAGAAACGCTCCGCGCTCTCGGGGCTCAGCCTCTGTTCCCCAGTCCAGCTGTTGCTCGTTCGGCCAATTCCGGAATCGCTCGCGCGTCTCTAAGCCTAGCCGAGCCCAGCCGAGCCCAGCCTCGGAGCGAGGGGCCGAGCCGACGGCGCTCGACTGTTTCCGGAAACGCTCGGCTGTCTCAGGGTGCTCGCCAGCCCGCTAGTCCCGCGGGATTCTGTTCGGCTATTTCCGGAATCACTCGGGCGCCCCCCACCCCTGGGCTCCGCCCCGGCCTCGGCGCACCCGCCCGGCCCGAATGCGTTCGGGCATTTCCGCCGGGGGCGGGCTGGGCCGCTCGGAATCGTGGCGGTGGCGGTGGCGGTGGCGGTGGCGGAGGCGGGGATCCCGCGGCTGCGGCGACGGCTGCCGCTGTGGAGCCGCTGGGCGGGCTCGGCTCAGCGTGACGGTGGCCGCGGCGGCGGCTGCGACCAAGTAAGTCCGGACTGGCAGTCGCGGGGAGAGGGGCGGGGGTGCGCGTGAATGTGGGGGTGCGGCCCGGGTGGAAGGCAGAGCGCGAGAGCCGGGCTGCACCGGGCCCGCGGGATCAGGGGGCCGCGGGGAGAGAGGCCGCGGGCCCCGCTGGACAGCGGCGCAGCCTGCCCAGGACAGTCGGGGCCGAGAGGGGCCCCTCGCGGTAGTACGGGGCTGGGGCCGCCATCGCGCATGCAGGGAGGCCCTGCCCCGAGTGGGGCGTCGATCAGCAATGAGGGGCGCCCAGGCACTGCGTGGGGCATAATGGGGCGCAGGAGGGTCGGGGGTCGACCGCACTTCCGGTGCCCTGGCGGGACTGCCGGGTCCACGCAGGCCAGAGTGCGCGTCTGCGTGAGCGCACAGGCCCTGCCTTCACCCGCGGAGCCCCTCGCCAGGCCTGCCCCGCCCCCCGCCCCCCGCCACCCCTGCATTCGGGGAGCGCCGATGCCTGGGCGCGCACACCCGGGCGTGTGCAAACGTGTGCGCACCGGGAGCGGGGGCGGGCAGGCAGGCAGATCCAGGCGGTTGGTTTCCTGGGCAGCCCCTCTCCGGGCCTCAGTTTCCCCACCTGTAGAATGGAGGCGACAGGGGCCGGAGAGTGGGTAAGTTGGGGCACCTGGGATATGGAGCCCCTGCTCCCTGCTTGGACACCTACTGGAGCTGGAATGAAGTCCAGACGCTCCCCCTGGCACTCGAGGCCCTCCTGAGGTGGTGTCTTTCCTACAGCCACCCTGAGCTCTTGGCAAGCAACTTCTCGCTGCCCAGCACACCCGCCTATCCTCCGTGATGACCCACTCTCTAGAAAAGCACACCCCACCCCTATCCCCTCCCTCGCGGGAGGCCTGAACCTGCAGGGTTGGGCTGGGAAGATGTCTGTGCCCGTCTCTGCCTCCCCAGGCTGGACTCCTGCACCCGCCCTCCCCTCCGTCCATCCACCTTCTCTGGGCTCCTTGTCCTACCCTGAGGCTAAGGTCCCCTGTGGCTCTTCCCAGCCCCTCTTCCCTCCACGTTTTGCACCTACTGTGGGTCCCACACTGAGCCAGGCTGGGGACACCAACACCTACCCCAGCCAACTCCCGGGTCGCCCACCACCATCTGCCTGCAGAGCTAGAGGTCCATTTGCTTGTGCCAGGGCCTCTCCCTGGACCTCCTTCCATACCCTTGCTCAGCTGGCCTGACCCCTCCACCAGGCTTCCAAAGTACGCTAAAGTGTCCCTCATTGCGCCCTCCCCACTCTGGGTATGACTATCTGGCCATGTGGCTGCCACCTTGGAGTTGGGTGGATCTGGGTTTAAGTCCTGGCTTCTTCCTGGCCCACTGAGTGGCCCTACAAAGGCCAACCTAAGCCTTAGTTTCCCCATCTCTAACAGGGGTGATGAAGAGCTTGCTTACTGAGCATGCCCAGGGCAGGTTCTTAAGAACTCTGCTCCCAATAACCCTAAGGGAGGGCTGTTAGTGCACCCATTTTACAGATGGGGAAACTGAGGCCCAGGAGGGCAGGGACTGGCCCAAAAGTCACCCAGCAATTCAGGAAATTCCAAACCTGGATTTGGGTCCCTCTCTGTGTTGGGGGTGGGAGGAGTCGGCCCGTCTAATGCTGCCCTATCCCTCTCTCCTCCCTAGGTCAGCATCCTCGGCCAGTGCGATGGTGGCAGCCTGCACCCTCGGCTCCCTCGTCTGGCGCAGCCAGAAGAGCCGCCAGCCTGGGGTGCCAATGGCTCCCCACGTGAGGGAGTGAGCGGCCTGCCCAACCCCACCCACTGATGGGGGACGTAGTGGCCCAGTGACTGAGACTGCGCCACCGACCCCCTCCCACCCGGTGACGAATGGTGGACAGAGTGACCAGTGGCCCCTGCCAGGGTCGTGGAATAATGGGAAGTGAGGCATGAGCGGCCCTCGTGGTCGCCTGTGACTGTTGGAAATAGAGGTCCCAGCGCCCCAGGCCAAGCCAGTGGACCCTCCTGGCCACGGCCCCGGCTGGTGGAGCCAGTGGGGCCCCAAGAAGCCGAGTGACCATCCAGACCACACCCCACCCAGCCATGGCAGGCGCTGAGGGCTTCCAGTACCGGGCACTGTACCCGTTCCACCGGGAGCGGCCAGAGGACCTGGAGCTGCTGCCGGGCGACGTGCTGGTGGTGAGCCGGGCGGCCCTGCAGGCGCTGGGCGTGGCTGAGGGTGGCGAGCGCTGCCCGCAGACCGTGGGCTGGATGCCCGGCCTCAACGAACGCACGCGGCAGCGAGGTGACTTCCCTGGCACCTACGTGGAGTTCCTAGGGCCTGTGGCCCTGGCCCGGCCCGGCCCTCGCCCACGCGGCCCCCGCCCACTGCCCGCCAGGCCACGCGATGGGCCCCCTGAGCCAGGTGAGCAGCAGGCAGGGGCCCTGGAAAGGGGGTGGTCCCCTCAGATCCTTGGTCTCCTCTTCTTTACAGTGAAGCACTGGGACCTGTCCCAGGGGAGGGGGACATTGGTCATTTGACAAGTGTTGACCTCACTATTGTCCAGTGCTGGGCTCAGCAGTGGACACAAGGCCTGGCCCTGCTGTCGTGGGCTTCTGGTTCAAGAAGTGACGAGTGCATGATTAGGTGGTGACAGAGGCAGTGAGGAAGGAGCGTGGCATGGCGAGAGCTGAGGGTGGAGTGCCCAGGACGTGGGCACAGGGCAAAGGCTGCAGGTGGGAATGCAGTGGCAGGCTCAGGGAACAGAGGAAGGAAACAAGAGCCGGGACTTGGGGACTTGGTGGGGTGAATTTTGAAGATAATGGAAAGTGTTCAGTAGGAGTCAGAGGTTCAACCTACCTTCATCCTGCATTTTGCAGACAGGGTCCCTCAAAGAACCCCGTTACCCCAATTTCACCTGGTTTCCAAAATGACGGAGCCATAAAGCCCAAAGAGGGAGGATGCTCAGTCAAGGCCGTGCAGCACTGTGGGGCGTGAGGACCCCGCATTCTTCCCCAAAGACCCCTGGCCATCCCCACTTCCCAGGGCATGCTGGGAGTGGAGAATCGGGGCACCGAGTATGTGCTAGAATTGCTGAATGCTAGGCAGGGGGTGTGGGTTCCAGCTGGGGAAATAGGCTCGAGTTGGGAGGAGGAGGCTGAGGAGGGCTGAGGGCCCAGCACGGCGTGGTCTGACCCTCTCAAGCACAAGGGGGCCGAACGACTCACTCGGGCTCAGCCACCCAGTGAGGCCAGGGCCCTGGGAGGTGCCAGGGGACACTGCCCAAAGAGGGTCAGGCCAGAGTCCCACTGCATGGGGCAGAATGTGGGACACCGAGGTGGTGTGGGGCTGGCTCGGCCTCGCAGCATCTGGTGTCTCCAGGGCCCGGGCCTGCATCCCGCCTCAGCCTGGAGGGGCAGGAGGTGGCCCCATCTGGGCTCCCAGCCAGAATCTGCCTCTCCCCCTGGTAACAGCACCTGCCTCCTCTGTCTGGCCTTTATCCAGCCACCACACACGTCCCCACGTGGGGCGGCTGTCCAGCCCCACCCTCCAGATCTTCCAGGGCTATGTGACCTGGGCCAGAGCCCGCCCTCTCCAAGCCTCAGTTTCCTCATCTGCAGACAGCAGGGTTGGTCCCTTGGCACATTGGGCCCTGCAGCTCCCAGTGCTGGGACCTCCCAGTGTGCCGAGTGGGGAGCAGAGGGCGGAGCCCCGACATCGCCTGGCCTCCCCTGGCTGTGCACCCACAGGGAGGTTGGTCCCTCTCGGAGCCACAGTTCCTCATCTGTAAAATGGGGGGATGCCTG